TAACTATCAAGAGATGTCACAGACATTGCTAAATTCAATGAAAAATATAATGTACTTAGAATATATATATATATTTTAAATTTTTCATCAAAATAACACCTATCCCTCGGGATCACCGTCATTTTTTATTTAAACCTGTCTTTTTTTCCATCACATCTGTAATCTGATGGGAGAGCTACTGGCAAGATAGCAGCGTTAGCCTCATGGAAGGAAGGGAAACAAGAAAAAAAAAATCAACATAGTTTGGCAAAACCAAGTGTACATTATTAATAATCATTACCAAACACCTCTTTTTCTTCTTTGAATGTATGAATGAGAAAAATACTATTTTATATTATATAGTTCGAGTATATTTTATGTTAACTCTAAAATAGAGATCAGAGTGTTAACATGTCATGATTGGAAATTCTAAATGTGTATTGGATCTCTGGAAAATATAACGACCAATTTTGACTGTAGTTGGAGAATCACTGTAAATTCCTTTTTGTTGAATCAGTGTAGTTAAATCGCTTTCTTTACATTTGACTGTAGATGGTAATGGCCTACTCCAGGGGTCTGCAAACTATGGTCTAGAGCAGACATCCCCAACCTCGGTGCTCGAGGCCTGCTGCGCTGCAGGTTTTAGAGGCTTCCTTGCTCCAGCGCAGCTAATTATAATTGAAAGCTGATTAACAGGCTTTTGGTCTACTGCAATCATTATAATCAGCTGTGCTAAAGCAGGGAAACCTCTAAACCTACAGGACAGCAGGCACCGAGGACCGAGGTTGGGGATGCCTGGTCTAGAGCAGAGGTCTTCAACAGGGGGTCCGCGAACCCTAAGGGGTCTGCAGAGGTACTGCATGAGGGTCGTGAAAGCTTTGGTTGATTTTAAACTTTTTTTTTTTTTTGACTAATTGAAATATCTTTAAATACACATTATCACGCATTCAACACACTGAAGTAAACAGATAAATGGAGGCAGAAGATGTCTTTCAGTCATCAAGGCACACATTCAGTGACACACAGGAGCTCTTTCAAACTAGGCACCGTTTCATTCACAACACCTTTCCCATCAACCAGGAATCCGAATCAGAAATACTTTGATAATCCCAGGGAGAAATTACTTTCATTACATAACTCCATCTGTAATAGAGTGACTATAGGACCAGTTTGATATAACAGAATTTCATACCATATATATAATTAGGGGTCTCTGCTCTATCTTGCCATCAGTTTGGGGGTCCTTGCCCTGGAAAACATTGAAGACCCCTGGTCTAGAGCAAAAAGTGAGGAGCCTTTACAACTACTTTTGATAGTGGCTAAAAATGATAAAGGGGCCAACTGATGGTTTTGAGTGTAGTATATATAACAAATACCTTTCTTAGAAGACTTATCAGGCTCTTTAAAGAACATTTTAATTAAACGTTTATTTCAGAATGACATTAAAGAATCATATGTTTTTAGATCTATCGTCCATGTCAGTTTTTAAACTGTATGTTTTTACATAAATATCCAATACAAGAAAATCCAAAATCAATGCTTCCTCATTATGAGGCTTTTAATGTTTTGCCCTTATTTTAAGAAAAAATAATAAATTGTGTTTAATAAAAAAATGTTATGTAATATTTGCTGTTCTCCAACTGTGTTATTTAGCTGGGTTCAAGGTAAAATACATTAGAAAGGTTAGAGACCCCTGACGTAATCAATTCATTAAAATTTTTTTTTTAATATAAAAAGAGAAAACGATAAAAAGACAACTCACCACTCTCGTCTACCAGGACATGTTTATTTACAGCGGCAAAATGATACGCGTCACAAGTGTTCCACAGGTACATACAGAGAAACATCGATAGTTCCCACCTCCTGCACAATTGACACTCAGCAGGGACAGTCCAGGGGACAAGGGGGGAGGGGACCAAGAGGACACATAATGAACACTGAGCTCAAACACATCTGTCTTAACCTCAATCAGAAACAAAAAAGGACTGAGGTTTGGTGGAGGAAACAAGGAGAGAGTGGGTTTAGACTCATATTCAAATACAAAAAGAACATGTACAAACTGTATAGCCTCCAGGCACTGTGCTCCAGTATTTACAGTGATCATTAACAGGCAGCAGAACCGCTCCATGGCAGAAACCATCCACCTTAGATATGCAGGTACATGTTTTTGCACTGAGAAAAAAAAATAAAAATAAAATAAACAAAGCTGCCGCCTTTTCAGTGTTTGAGATAAAGCCAGCAGAGTCTGAGAGGCAGGGAGCGGCGGAGGTGGCGGTGTGGCTTAGACACATGCTGCAGCCGCGGGAAGGAGGGGTGGGGATTAATCACTGTCGAGAACTACATAATCATGTTCTACTCATCGGAGCGCAATCTCAAACCCCACAGTGAGAAAAAACAAACAAAAAAAAAGAAGGGGATAGCTTGCAGCATTCATATCTGGTATGCAGTCATCACCAGTATGACCTGCAGAGCTGCGTGAGGCCTGCAGCACACAAACCAAGGCCAAGCACAACAAAACAGAACCCAGGGATCTAGATTTGGTTCCAATGGGAGAAAACTTTAAAATGAAAAACCAAAACAAATAAACATTCGTGAATTTACAGTACGATGATGTGCAGATACATTCAACAGACACACATGCAACCTGAAGTGTGTTCACACTGGTGTGATGATGCATTACACACCATCAGAACCAAGTTTATGAAGCCTATACAGTAACATTTGGGATCCTAAACTTTTTTAAAACAAGTATATGTTCCAGGATTTTCCACTCCCAGGTCCTTGTCTGTTAACAACTGCTTAGAAAGAGTAGCCAATATCACCAGGAATCTATGGAGTATAAATCTACATGACTGGACCGACAGAAGAAACGGGAAGGAAGGAATGAAGGTAAGAAGAGTAAGGAAGGACAGAGGGAAGAATGGTAGGATACAAGGAGGGAGGGATGAAGGATGGAAGAAGGACAGAAGCAAGGAAGAACAAATAAGCCACAGAGAAAGGAAACAAAGAGGGTAGGATGTAAAAACGAGGAAGGAAATAAGTTTTTTTTTTTTAAAAAGGTAAGGATAATTGCAGACAGAGAGAAAGAAATGTGTTGGAGACAAGTAAGCTTGGAAGTTACAGTACAACAATAGAAGATAAGGACACAAAGTCATAGATAATGATTGATAAACAAGAAGAAATAGAGGGAAGAGGAAGAATGGAAGGACATGGGTAAGGAAAAGGTAGGAGCAAATAAAGGAAAGGAGGCAGGACCCAAAGAAGGAAAGGAAGAAAAGATAAATAGAAATAAGAGATAATAATTGGCTGAAAGATGGGATAGGAAAGAACTATGAAAGGAAGGAAAGGGACAAGGAGGTGGAAAAGAGTAAGTAAGGAAAGAGTGAAAAACAGATGTTGACAATAAATTATGTGGAAAACAAATCAAGAAAGACCTGACAGAAAGAAGGAAGAATAGAAGCAAAGAAGGACACAAGGAAAAAAGAAAAGAAGTTACATTTTTAGACAACGAAAAAGGAAATTTAGTCCACCCTTACAGAATTGGAAAATACTAAAACCCAGTTCCATCCTTCTCCCAGAATGTGTAGAAAACCCTGCTAGTTAGTTCTGAGTATCAGTCTCCATTCAACATCTATCTGTACACATCTGGATGGGTCCAGTGTGGCCGACGACGATCCACAGTGCTACGAATACAATCCACAGTCCTAGACGACTACGCCACGCTTCCCCGGATTCACAGCATCACAATAAAAAGTCGACACATTCTCAGGTGCAAGAAAAAAACAGCAACGACGCAATGCAGAGTTGATTTCATGGAGTGAGCCAAACAAAAGCATTGCACCATTGAGAGGGAACAAAAAAATAAATAAAACGAGAGAAAAAAAAAAGGCACATTAATGCCGTAATTACTGCCTCAGCTGAGATGCCGTGAAATAGCCTCAGAGTGTGGAGGGTTTTCCTTAAGGGAGAGCAAATGATAGGGAAAAGCAATAATATTACACCACCACTGAACTTCAGACCTGAACACAACGGAAAGGGGGAGAGGAGAGGAAGGAAATAAAACCATTGCTCATCTGGGAGGTGTTAACAACAAAAGCCAAGCCTTTTGCATTGTGGAGAGAAAAAAAAAATTTTCTTTTGTTTAATATATTTACATAAAAGCTCTGTAAAATATCTGTTTTTTTCACCTATGTACAACACATAACGACATCAGAGAGAGTAAGAAACAGAAAAGGTCTTTTTTTTCTTTCCTTTTTCAAAATAAAAGCATGTCAGGCTGATTTGAGACAGGAGTGCAGAAGAAAACAAAAAAACAAGTGTCTTTCACATGTTTCCATGCTTTGGCTGATAGTATCCACAGCTTTTTCCCCTCTATGCAGATGAAATAAAAACATTTATTTAAATTTTTTTTTCTTTTTACGTTTTTCAAAGCTTAAAATCCAGCTCATAGATTAAAGGCATAAAGCGGTTACTGTGGCGACAACATCCAAAGCATGGAGACTCTACATCTGCACCTTTATTCTCTCTATTCAGGATTGTTCAACCCATTAAAACCAAATGATATGGAGGCTATAACACTGTTTAACCATCCTAAATCTCATGTGGGCTTTAATAAAACACAATATAAAGTATATTCTGAAGAAATACATTAAAGATCTGATAAAGCGAGACAGAAGAAGGCAGAAAATAAAGTACAATCATTTAGCAACAAGAGCCTCCTACTTAATCCTTGTGTGTGTGGGAACATAAAGCATTCTGGACGTCATTAAAAGTTGATCCTTTCTTCCTTCCCGTTTCCTCTCTTTTCATTTTATTTACACATGCCTTTCATTTGGGCATCAATATAAACAGATATAGTATTGTACTCCACTATTTTCCAGTGTTTTCGCTTTTCCAGGGAGGTGGGGAGGGGGGGTTGGTCTCGTGATCCGAATGTTCTTTTGGTGGCAAAGAGGGCCCGACCCCCCTTTTTCTTTACCTTTACATCTTTTACTCTTTTTTTGATTAATTTTCTTATTTGAACATTTTATGCTTTGCTGTCGTCTGGCTTTATGTGGATGCTGTTGTCACTGTGCACTTTGATTTCAATCGTATCCGGCTTGAGAGACTCTTTGCCATTTTCTTCCTTCAGCGGCAGCTTCCTGCAAGTAGGAGAAGAAGCAGACAGGACACAAGGAGAGGAGTGAGAATCGTGGCGTTTGTCATTGGAAACAAGAAAGTACGAGAAATTAATGGATGACCACAGTTGAGGTTAAAAGATTCTGGAGTGATGTGGTTTTATGAAGCACAAACAAATTCTGAGTAAAGCAGGACTAAGATGAGCACATAAACGATGGTGCTTTTCATTTAAATTCCATGAATAATTTAGATTATTTTTAAAAATACATAAATGGATTGTGTGTGATTTGTTTGATAAAGCCCACTTAAGAAAAAGCAACAGGGAATATCAAATATAGCACCTTTGGGATACAGGGAGATGAACAGAAGCATGTCTTTCACCAGAATAAGACCTTTTTATCAGGTCAGAATTTTGTCAATAGTGCAGACGTGTAATTAATAATCATACGAGCATTTCTATTTAAAAACACACACAAATAAACTTTTCTCCATGTGCATTTGTAATGTTTAAAGTATGCAGACTTTATACCATAAGGCCTCCACTATGTATGGATTTCCCTCTACCCACGTGTGGACCAGCGATTAGCCTGAAGTACTGTAGGCATCTCTTCTCGCAAGAAAGTTGCTTTTGATCACAAAGCATTATGGGATTTGCTGTCACAGTGGCGCACTGTCGCTACCCGACAGTGGCGACTAATTACAAAGATGGTGGACCAATGGGGAAGTGATCATCTGTCCAAATGGCAAGTTCACTGAGTTCACTATAAAGTCCCGGGGTTAGGATGGACTTTCGGACACAGTAAACTTGAATGAGCTATGACAACAGCAACCTTTAAACAAAGCATGCACAAGGAGAAATTGGCTTGTGTATCCTTCCGCACACGCATTTTTTTAAGTGGAGAGGATGGATCTTTTAAAAAATTCGAGAAAATTCTCCACAATACCTTTAAAGGCAATCGCTAGAGGACCTCAAAAAAAAAGAAATATAGCATCAAAGTAGCTTAACTGGCAACAGTGGCCTGAAGGTTTTTTGCTAACGTTACTATCCACAACCAGGAGGAAAACAGTAGTCTCGATTTTCTTGAAAAGATGCCAATCACAGGTAGTTTACTTTCTAAGGTTGGTTACACCTTTAAAGTAACAAAAGTTGACATGAGCCACAGAAACAGATCCTCACACACAATAGGATAGACTTTACAGGCACATAAACAGCAAGAGAGTGCAGAGAAGGAACATATTTGAGACTTGGTGGTGTTAAAGCCTGATGCATATAATGTACAAAGTGCACATGGTGAACAGTTTACATGTGTGTTTTAAATAAAACTGCTTGTATGATTTTTCATTGCGAGTCTGCCATTTTGGCAAAATTCAGACTTCATTTGTTTTCTGTATTTAGGTAATCTACTGTCCTAAATTCAAAGACAGCTTAGTCCCAGCTTTGTACTCTTGACTTATTTCATCAACCAATAAGTTTTAACATCTTAATGGATGTTAAAAGTTTGGTTGTGAGTGAGGACCCATAAGCTTTTTCCACAGCTGGCATAAAAGGGTTAGAAAATATGAGTTCAAGGAGCTACTAGAGTCAGTTTACAGATTGTCAGGTTAATGCTATGGCCTGTCTAGGAATTGCGCTATTTGTTGTTAGGTCTTTAAGGACCTGTTAAGAAGTATTTGGCAGCTACAACCAAAGACAAATTTTGCATTTTTTTATTGCCAGAGCCAACAGTATCTGAAGGTGGATGAGATGATGAGACTCACAAGGCCTCGCCCAGTTGAGAACGTGTATTGTAAGAGAAGGTCAGGCCAGGTGGTTATATTGAAGGACTCCCATGAAGACCATAGGCAACTTAAAGGCAAGACTGTCAATGATCTGCATTTCATTTCACCCCCAACCCATAAAAAAAAAGTTGTCAGTTTAATTTACCCTTAAAAAATTCGCTATAATTGACCGGAGGATCTCTCTAAACACAAACGTAATAACAGTTGGTATAAAGAAAATCTGTCATATCCTCCTCCTTTTAAAGAGCTGGTTATACTCCCCGCAGCAGTGTGTTGCAGTGAGCTTGACGCAGACATTTTTGATTTATGCTCATTATTGTGGGTCTAGATACGGCCAAGGTGATAAGGAAGTGGGGGCGAGTTTGTCCGACAACAGAGGGACAATGAGGGCGAAAAAGAGCGGAGATCCAGGCGGGAAAAGGGCCTCAGTGTTCTAGCGCACCTCGCTCTTCTAGCTGGTCCAACTTCACGAGTTGTTTTCCGCAATTGCTGTAATAAAAATAAAAACAAGCTGGCCTCCTGTCTGCGTTCACCTGCAATTTGGGAGAGGTGCAGCAGAGTGTCTGCGGAAGGAGGCGAGGATGGCTTTTTGTTCACTGCGACACCTACGCAGACGACCTAGTTTCGAAGTATAAATCAGCCTTAAGGGGTGACACTTTGCACTGCTTATCTAAAATGTAAGTCCTCTCCTTTGGCTGTTCACAGCTAAAACCTTTTGAATTAAAATTACAAAAATAAAGATTCAACCAGTCAGAACTCAACTAGGATAGATGTAGTTGAAAGAAAAAACACCAGAACGTACAAGAAGGATACATGGAAGAGTGAAAGAAATAAGAAAATATATGTGGCACAAGGAAAGGAAGACTGACAGAAAATAAAGGAAGGAGGTAACTTTTAAGGTGAATAAATAGGCACACAAAAGACAAAGGAAGGAGGAAAAGAGACAAGGAAGGAAGGATATACCGGGAGGAAAACAGATAGGGACATTAGGGTAGAAGGGAAAGAAAAGAAGGAAGATGGAGACCAGTGGTGGTGGGACACAAGAAATTATGTAAGGAAAGACACGGGGAGAAAAGAGGTAAGGGTTCAAGAAGTGGACATAAACATGATGCAGGGAGGAAGAAAAAATCTAAACTAGAGTGATTTATGGCTGTATTTACTCAGACCTGATAAATCATGCAATCAGTTGTATATCTTTCCAGGCTCTTAAGGAACCTCAATTCTTGAATCTGAACTACTGTAGATCTACAAAACCTAATGAAAGCCTTGGAGGGATCTTTGAAGGCTACCAGTGACTGTTCTACGCTATGCAACCAGGTAGCTGCTATCTTGGAAAGGTCGTGCAGGGAAAAGAGGTGCAAACCTGGATAAATAAAGGCAAAACCTCAACTATGTACAACAAAGGTTGATATCCAGTGTAAACAAAGCAGCAATTACTTCTCTGGTGTCTTAAAGAAGAATTTTATAGCATTCATTTGGTTTAAGATGTCTTAATTTAAGGTTTGAACACCTGTATGATTAGGAAGGAGCTAGGTGCTTTATATGGCATTACAAAAACCAGAGCAGTTTTGTTTAATGATATAGTAGGTAAATGGTCTTTAAAGTTTTAAATGTTCTTTTCTGAGTCCTTAGATGCTAGATCATTGTTGAAAAAACACACTCTGAGTTAAAGACCATAGTTTTTTGAAACTCGTCCTGCGATATGATGAAGCTAAAATTACCACATATCTCAACTGATAGGTATAAGGCATGGCGACATTTTGATTTGGGGCCAAAATGGATAGCCTGATGAGGAAGTACCTCAGTATTGGTACATCTAAATGCACTTCATCACTAGTGGGACGTCCAAAATTGGTTAAAGCAGTGCAGTGCTAAAGCGATGCAGCAAGTGTTACATCTCAACCCAGCTATACCTGTTCAGTAAGGAGAAAAGCGCCAGAAGGTAGCTAAATGTTCAATGCAAGTCATTGAATTAAAATGGAAGATTAAGTAAATCCCTAAATGAGTCAGGTGTTCAGCTTATGTGGATTTAAAGAAGGAAAGGTAATCGTAAAAACAAACAGAAAGAAATTTTAAATAGAAGCCTGAAATATTGAGTAATTTTTGTGCACTGATGCATGTTTATGTTATAGTTTTAAATCGTCTAAGGCTTAGTCACAACAGGTGGCTTATTTTTCTTTCCTAAGCAGTGCAGAAGGTCCGTTGGGTTCATTTCTATATTTTAAATGACTCCAGTTTGGTTTTCATTGCCGTAACATTACTAAAGCTTAACCAGAAAGTTCACAAGCAAATATAAAAACAGTTTTTTCCCCCTACTTCAAACAGTTTGCTCTTGTTTTGAGTTTTAGGTCAGAACAAAAACATATAGAAGTATTGTTTTTTATCCCTTCCTTCTCATAAAAGACTAACAGTCTCTGTTCCACTGAGCCTGTAGAGACAGCTTCATATTTATTAAAGGAAATCAATAAGAACCTCCAGCTTTTACCCGTTTTCACATCATCGCTGCACTTCTATCTCAATTTTTGTTCCTTCATTCCTTTTTTTTCCCGATTCAACCTTAAACAAGGACTGGGTCACATGCAGTGAAAGCCTAAAAAAGCTAAGCTCTTTGTCAGCCCACCGGCAGATCAGGATTAACGCACTTTAGCTGAGGGCTACTCATTTGCTGAGTTCACAAGGTCGCAGTGCTTTTTATTCTGACACACCTCCTGGTAATCATTCAGGACTCGTCTGTCACCTTGAATCAGAAACCATCCATCAACGCTCTTTACTGAAAAATGCAGCTAAATCCGCTCAGTCAGCTAAACAAAAAGAAAAAAATTTACTTCCAGGGTATCATCTACTCTGACATGTCCAAAACACTGGAGGTAAACGCCATAAATCCATCATCAATCAACATTATTAACATGTTTTTAATTCAGAATAATAATTGGTTTCTAGGGCCAAAGGATAAACAAATAATCTTTATGGTTTTTATGTATTGAATTGGATCCATATTAGATTTTTTACGGCAATAATTGTAAAGACCTGGTTTTTAACATAGACAGACCGATGCATCAGCTGGACAATATTTTCAGTCGATATTAGTGTTTTTTTCTTGTTAGGTATCAGCCGATACGATTCATTACTGCATTCAGCAGCAATGCCTCTAGATCATGATAGTGCATCCAATGTCACTCCCCTGCCAAATCTATGGAGCCAAAGACTTCTCAGTAAAACTGAAGAGAAACTGAGAATTATTTGG